GCATTCAGTTTATCATTTACAGAGTCACGTAACTTTCTGAACTTTTGTGATTTCTTTTTTTTTTGTAGGAGGGTTTCATGTTTTTATGCACATTATGAAAGTAAGTTGGGTCCCAAACAATACTGGACTTACCAGATAAAATCATGATGCAACATTTAAAAAAATATGGTGAATGAAAAATGTTGCTAGTTTGAAAAGACAAAGATAAAATGTAAAATTGTATAAACATCAAAAAGTCATTCACCAGCCTGGACCATGCCACACTTTGAGCTAGACCATGAGTCCTAAACTCAATTCCTAGAGAGCCACAGCTCTGCACAGTTTTGCTCTAACTCTAATCAAACACACCTGATCCAAGTAATCAAGGTGTTCAAAAGAGTCTTAAACAGCTTGATATGTTGGATCAGCTGTGTTTGATTAGGGCTGGAGCAAAACTGTGCAGAGTTGCGGCTCTCCAGGAATTGAGTTTGAGACCTATGCGTTAGAGTCTAGCGGCTAGACTTTATTGTAGGGATGAAAAGGGGTGGGAACAATGAACTGGTAGTGAACAGGTAGGTAGGTTGGTCTGGCGTCCTACGCTGATACCCAGAGACTCAGAGTGGTGGTACCATCTCTGTAATATTTTGGTAGAGTGATTAGGACCCCCAATTCAACCTAGGAGGAAAGAGAAGGTTATAAGAATTGTTAATGGGAAGCGAGGAAATATAGGGAAGGGGGGTGCATTCGAGAGAACGAGAAGAACTGTGCTAGAGGGCTGGTCTGCCTTAAATAAGTTTTAGGGAGTAGGTGATTGGTTAAGGTGTGGTCCCACTGACGAAATTAAATTTCTCAGTTCTTACCTCATTTGTTCTTATTTTACAAAGGAGTTACATCAGAAGTGTGATATAAACTCAACAAAAAACAACATTTCTTTGTAAGAGTTTATATCCCTCAACTCTGACCTTCTATATACATAGACCACCTAGTTTTTCACAATTTATTTTATGATTTTGAAAAATGACGGTGATAATTCCCAGACAATGTTGCAATAAAAATATACATAAATATAAATAATTATATTATAAATATATATTATATCTATATATATTATTTAATATATTTTAATCATACTATGTTAGGTGTGCAATCTGACACAATGACACAAATCATAAAAAAACTTCCAATTTGCTCCACAGCATGTCTAATTCCATCTTTGCATTGACTTCACATGTAAATCACCTCTGCTTCATTCACACCTTCTTACTGCACAGGCTGCAAAACAATCCCCCATGTAATTTAATGATTGTAAGAGCATAGGTGAGACGTCCAGAGACGATCAAATACATCACGTGCCCTACGTATGCAATGTCTACAAGTCTTGTAAAACAATTAATTGCAAACTGAAATAAGTGTATTTTGATTATATGGTTTGGATTTTAATGTTTTATTCATTTTCTTGCGATTATTTTACGTTTAAATTAAGAATTTACGAGCTTGACATGAGATGGATTGTTCAAAGAACTATAAAGGAAAAAAGTCAGAACATTGATCTTATACAGTTTAGGTCAGAATTATTAGCCCCCCCATTTGAATTTTTTTTCTTCTTTTTTTAAATATTTCCCAAATGATGTTTAACAGAGCAGGAAAATTTTCACATTATGTCTAATAATATTTTTTTCTTTTATTGAGAGTCTTATTTGTTTTATTTTGGCTAAAATAAAAGCAGTTTAATTTTTTTATGAACAATTTTAAGGTCAAAGTTATTAGCCCCTTTAAGCTTTTTTTGACTGTTCAATACAATTCAATTCAGCTTTATTTGTATAGCGATTTTACAATGTAGATTGTGTCAAAGCAGCTTCACATAAATGGTCATAGTAACTGAATCAGGATAGTTCAGTTTTTAGTGTTTAAGTTCGGTTCAGTTTAGCTCAGTTCATTGTGGTTTGAAGTCATTATTTAGAGTCCAAACACTGAAGAGCAAATTCATAGATGAGTAGCTTTTCAGATTCTGAACCATGCAAGTCAGTGATGACAGCGGAGAGGGAAAAAAACTGTCTACAGAACAAACCATCATTATACAATAACTTGCCTAATTACCCTAACCTGTCTAGTTAACCTAACATAGTGAAGCCTTTAAATGTCACTTTAAGCTGTGTAAAAGTGTCTTGAAAAATATCTAGTCAAATATTATGTACAGTCATCATGCTAAATAATAAAGTTATTAAAAATAAATCAAGATAAAATAAATCAGTTATTAGAAATGAGTTATTGAAACTATTATGTTTAGAGCTGTGTTGAAAAAATCTTCTCTCCGTTAAACAGAAATTAGGGAAAATAAACTCAAGAAATTCTGTATTTATTATAACATTTCTGAATTTTATTTCCTTAAAAATTAGAGATATAAACTCACAACTG